CCAACGACACTGAGTGGATCTATTGTTTTCCCTCTGCCCCAAGAATAGCAATGTCCCAGATAGCTGCTCCTTCATCTGGAACCCTGGAAGACACATAGAGCTGAGACACAGCTGACCAGAAGCTGAAAGGTCATGTATGCAGGAAATAACCCTTTTTATTGTAAGCCATTTAAATCTGTTTGTTAACCCAATATAATCTAGCAAAAGTTGACTGACAGGAGAAATAAGCTACTCTATTTCCTAAGGTCTTACTTCTTATTAACCTCTGAGCTAGTCATAGATTTATCTGATTCATCACTTTTCCACAAACAAGATACTCTGATGTCTTATGATCCTAAGTTTGCCTATTCCACTTTATTTCACTTACTCAGGCAAAAAAAATGCTGAGCAGAACAAAAACTAACAGGAGGAATGTTAGCACTTGTGATGCAATCTAGAACCAGGGTATCCATGTTTTAAAAAGCAAAAGTAGAGGGCAGTGGTGGTTAAGAAAGAGCACAACCCAGAGAGTTCTGGCCAAGATGGAGGCGTAGGTAGATACACTGTGCCTCCTCGCAGAGCCAAGACAGGGACAACAATTTAGAAACAGAATAGCAACCAGAAATGACAGAAAATTGAACTGTATGGAAGTCAGACAACCAAGGAGTTAAAATAGACATGTTCATCCAGACTGGTAGGAAGGGCAGAGTTGGGCAGCTGGGCAGAGAGGGGTCGAGGCACAGAGAGTGGTGGGACCGGGCATGGAAGGCACCCTGGGAACACCAGACCACAGCAGGTGGACCCTGAGCGCACAAGCAGCGGCTGGCAGACCCCAGGCCCTGGGTGGCAATGGGCAAACACAGCGAGGCAGCGGTTATGAAGCGAGGCACTGCACACAAGGCAACTGGCTGACTGGGCAGTCCCAGAGCCCCAGCACCGGGAAATAGAGTCTCGGGGCACTGACTGAAAACACCTGTGGGGGTCAAGGCGCAGGGAGAGACTCCCAGCCTCACAGGAGGGTATGTTGGAAAGACCCACAGGGTCCTAGAATGTGCACAAGCCCACCCACATGGGAATCAGCACCAGAAGGGCCCAGTTTGCTTGGGGGAAGCGGTGGAAGGGACTGAAATCTGAGAGAGAGCGGAGCAAGCACCACTGTTCCCTCTCGGACCCCACCCCAACATATAGCGTCACAATCCAGCGACTGGGTTGCCCCACCCTGGTGAACACCTAAGGCTCCGCCCCTCATATGTAACAGGTGTGACAACACACACACACACACACACACACAAAGGCCCAAAAGGGAGAACAGATCAAAGCTCCACAGCAAATACAACTATGTGACCAAGAGATAGCCAACCTATCAGATGCACAGTTCAAAACACTGGTGATCAGGATGCTCACAGAATTGGTTGAATTTGGTCGCAGATTAGATGGAAAAATGAAGGCTATACTAAGTGAAATGAAGGAAAATGCACAGGCAACCAATAGTGATGGGAAGAAAACTGGGACTCAAATCAATGGAGTGGACCAGAAGGAAGAAAGAAACAACCAAACAGAAAATAATGAAGAAACAAGAAATCAAAAAAATGAGGAGAGTATTAGGAACCTCCAGAACATCTTTATACGTTCCAATATCCAAATTATAGGGATGCCAGAAGGAGAAGAGGAAGAGCAACAAGTGGAAAAGTTATTTGAACAAATAATAAAGGAGAACTTCCCCAATCTGGCAAAGGAAATAGACTTCCAGGAAGTCCAGGAAGCTCAGAGAGTCCCAAAGAAGTTGGACCCAAGGAGGAACACACCAAGGCACATCATAATTACATTAGCCAAGATTTGAAGGAGAGAATCCTAGAAGAAGTAAGAGATAAGGAGACAGTAACCTACAAAGGAGTTCCCATCAGAATGTTAGCTGATTTCTCAAAAGAAAACTTGCAGGCAAAAAAGGGATGGAAAGGAGTATTCCAAGTCATGAAAGGCAAGGACCTACATCCCAGATTGCTCTATCCAGCAAAGCTATCATTTAGAATGGAAGGGCAGATAAAGTGCTTCTCAGATAAGGTCAAGTTAAAGGAGTTCATCATCACCAAGTCCTTATTATATCAAATGTTAAAGGGACTTATCTAAGAAAAAGATAAAAAACATGCATAGTAAAATGACAGCAAACTCACAATTATTAACAACCATACCTAAAACAAAAACAAAAACAAACTAAGCAAACAACTAGAACAAGAACAGAACCACAGAAATGAATATCACATGGAGGGTTATCAACAGGGGAGAGAAGGAGAGAGGGGAAAAAAGGTACAGAGAATAAGTAGCATAGATGGTAGAGAGAAAATAGACAGGGGGAGGGCAAGAATAGTATGGGAAATAGAAGCTAAAGAACTTAGGACACATGGACATGAACTAAAGGGGGGGAATGTGGGTGGAAGAGGGTGTGCAGTGTGGAGGGGAATGAAGGGGGGTAATGGGACAACTGTAATAGCATAATCAATATAATATATTTAAAAAAAGACAATGAGATATCACTTCATCCCAGTCAGAATGGCCATCATTAACACATCAACAAACAAGTGCTGGCAAGGCTGTGGAGAAAAGGGAACCCCAGTGCACTGTTGGTGGGAATGAAGACTGGTGCAGCCACTGTGGGAGACAGTAGGGATCTTCCTCAAGAAACTGAGATGGAACTGCCTTTCGATCCAGTGATCCCACTGCTGGGATTATACCCTAATAATCCTGACTCACCAGCTCAAAAGAACCTATGCACCCCAATGTTCATAGCAGCATTCTTGACAATAGCCAAGTTCTGGAAACAGCCTAAGTGTCCATCAGTAAATAAGTATCAAAAAAACTACAGTACATTTGCATAATGGAATACTGTGCATCAGAAAGAAAGAATTCCTAGCCTTTGTGACAACATGGATGGAACTGGAGAGCATTATGCTAAGTGAAATAAGCCAGGCAGTAAAAGACAAATACCATATGATCTCACCTATAAGTGGAACCTAATGAACAAAACAAACAAATGAGCATAGTAGAACCAGAGACTTGGAAATAAAGAATAAACTGACAGTGACCAGAGGGGATGGGGGAGGGGGATGACAGGGGAAAGAAGGAGAAGGGCCAAACAAAGGAACACGAATAGAGGACTCGTGGCCATGGACAATAGGGGACTGACTGTGGGAGTTGCGGGAGATGGGGTTGGGGTGAGCAGTGGGGAAAAACGCAGGACAACTGTAACTGAACGATAATAAAAAAACAGAATATGTAAAAAAGAAAGTAAGAACACAATCCATTTGTGGCCAAGAAAGTTCAGAGACTGAAAAGGCAGTAGAAAGGCAGTGCGAAACCAAGTTTCTCACAGATTGGCCTCTACCCTAAATGAAACTAAATCTGGCTTCCTCAGCCTAGTTTGGTAAAAATTTTCCCAAGACAGAAATTTTCTACCATTTTGGACTTTCACCAGCACATGCTGCAATATCATCTTTAAGGCAACACTAAATAAATAGACACACTGTCCCTGTTTACTTTTTTCTTGGAACTCAAAATCCTAATTAGTATTTAACAAAGGGCACAAATACAGGAAAACTGATCCCCACTAAAACACATTGCTGTAAATTTTTCATAAAACACATTTATAACCTAAAATTATATCTTAGTCACAACAAAAAAGAAAAATAGAAATTTATTCAACCAATCTCAAAGACACACCAGCCCTGCCCCTCCCCAAAAAAACTATGTCAAACAATAAAAAGGTCCTTTAGAAGATAGAGAAGATAAAGCAAGGTCCTTGCATTTACAGAATTAATCTAAAAATAAATTTAAAATTGTAAAAATATTAAGAAATATACTGCAATATAAAAAGAGAAAAAAAAAGAAAAAAAAAACAGTAACAACATGTGTCATTAGCCACGATACAAAATATTCCTGGGAAAATTAGACAAAGAGGACCTAAACTATACACCCCCCAGCCAAATACAATGTCAAAATATGTCCTTTCCACAAGCAGAGTGGACTAACAGACAATGAGCCATGATCTTAAAACAGCAACATCCAAAGTCTTGGTGTCCTTTCCATGAAGGTAAGTTACACATCCACACTGAGGGATAAGAGTATACTTAATGTCCATCCTAGGTCTTCCTTGTTTGGAAAATCTGGTTTCTTGCTTACTCTTTTGTTGTGTCTCCATAAACAAATTAGGGAAAATTTGTCTCTATGTGTTCTTTAGTAAGATGTAGGAAAACTGGGATTGGGAAGTCACTGTCGTGAGCCAACAATTTTTCCCCAGAAAAGATACTAATAAATACTAGGCCATAACACCTCCCCTACCCACCTACCCTGCACTGAGCACTCATTCGGTTATTCCCCACAAAGACTTGGCTGTGGACAAATCTGCTCCTGTGTCCATACCAACCACCCAGTACACCAGGCCAATCCAAACCACTCAGATTACTAAAACTCCCACCTTTGGGATTTTTCAATGTAGCACTTACAACCCACCCCTTCACAATAAAACTCAAGCAACTACCCCTTCAATTAAAAATTTAAAAAACTGTTGTAAAATACTTCCATTTGAAACTTTTTAATTAAAGATATTTTTAAAAAATACATAGGATTCCCTAAATCTAACCTTCCAGTTCTCAAAATGCATTTACTTCTTAATCTTAGCAATATATTTACACTTAGAGATTTATCTTGCCTCAGCCTTCTAGCTCCAAAAATTATAGCCCACAATATACCAAATGCAATAATTTCCTTTTATGACATGACATACCATCTTTATGACATCCCATCTTTATCAATTCTGTTAAGTTGCAAATTCTGTGAAACTAGTTTACTTTAAAAAGTTATAAAGTCAGTCTCAAGGGGGGTAAAATTTTAGTTGGCAGAAGAAAAAATAAGCGATAAAATTTGACCTTCACAAATTATTTGCTGTAATGACAAACATGACTAGCTTCTGAAGATTATAGTACTTTAGCTACCAACTACTAATTAAAAAGAAAAAAACATCAACTTACCAACCACTGATGCTCCTCTTTCGGCAAAAGCCAGGGCATAGGCTCGGCCCAGTCCTAATGAAAAACAAAATAATCAAAACGTTGAGCAAGTGTTCACGTAATTTTGGGGGTCCACTCAATGCAATCCCTATTTTAAAGTAACCTGTGAGCAATTAATTACATTACAATGTCTTCATTTGTACTCTCACCCTGTGTTTCACCCTCTTCACTTCCAGAAAAAAGAAATCTTAAAACTGCATTTTTCCACCTATTCTACCAACCATTTCCTACCATTCGGCCTAGATGGTAGGATTCCACCATTAAATGTATTACTGTGACATCTGGAAAGTTGGAAGGAGGCAGAAGCCACCTTACTGTGACTTCTAGCTGTTGCTGCTGGTTAAGAAGCTGATTTCTTGAAGCTTCCTAAGTATTAAGAAACAGTGGATGTAGCAGCGACATCCACTGTTTCTTATCTAGCTCCCTAACCTCTGGGTGGCAGCTTCCATGTTCTGCACCCTGGTATTCAAGGATGACTTGAACTGTGGTAGTTTAAATGGCAGCTTCACAAGATGAGGCTCCAAACGGACCACTTCTATATTGTTCCACAAGCCATTTCAAGAGGAACTGCCTAGAAAACAAATGGCTAAATTACATTTTTCCTGCTTCAGATATCTAGTGATTTCTATATCCTGCACTGGGCTTTAATGACACAATCGCCAAACACATATTTAATTCTTAATTAAGTAGTAATTAAATATTTAGTTCCAACTCAAGGATGTAAGGTATATATCTATACATCCAAAAATGAATATATGCCTATATAGGAACAGAATATCTCAGGAAAATATATGAGGCTGGCAATTACTGTTTACCTCTAAGGGCTAGAACTGTGTGACTAGCAACTAAGGATGGAAGGCTTACTTTTGTATTACTTAAACTGTTTTAACATATACACATTGAAAAATTTAAATTAGTTGATAAATTGATAGTTTAAATTAATTGATAAATAAGCATACAAATAACAAATTGATGGCTAAAGTATCAGGCTCTTCTAAAAAGAACCCAAAATATAAATTAAAGATATCACCAAATAATTTATTTTAAAATTTAATCCACTCTGAATAAGAGAACTTAACCAACATAACTCAAGCCTTCTTACATTTTAACAGATCAAAGCTGAAGCACTTTTTCTAAACACAGGGTTTTTAGATATCAAATATTCATAATTAAAACGCAAAAAATTATGCTAACACAGAAAATCCACAGGTGAGAGAAACGGACTAGGTCTCCAACATTGGAGATTGAGTGAAGTTATTCAGAGAAATGTCTCAATTTACAACCAAGCAATACAATTCTCTCAAATGGTATGTCAGTGATCTCCCTTTATCATAAAAGCACATAAGCTATATAAAGGTATGATTCACATCTAGAGCTGAACAGCGCCGGGCTACTCAAGATTTCATCTCGCTACTCAGGGCAGTACACAATTTAAAACTTATGAATTATTTCTGGAACTTTCCATTTAATACTTTTGGCCTAAGGGTAACTGAAAGTCGGGTAAGTGGGGACTACTGTATATAGTGCTCATCTTAATAAGCACACAAACTCAACGAAAACTCTTAAATGCCCTCTTTAAAGGAGGCCTTCTTAGGTAAAAATTAAGAGAGCCTAAAATCATACCCCAGGGGGAAAGAAACACTAAAAGAATGACTCTTCAAAGGCAAGGAACTAATACTCTTCTGGGGGTGACTGCAGAACCCAGTCGCTTTTCCAAAACCTTTAAAAGACCTAAGAAAGCCTCAGAGAGTCTAAAGGCGGAGGAGTAGCAATAGCAATCGGTATGCAGAGACAAGCGTTACTTAGGACTTTTACCTGATCGTACAACCCGCAGCGCCTCCCTGCCTCTCTCCTCCCACAACACTTGGCCCCATGGGAGGCTCCCCGGAGAAGAGACAGGAGAACCGGCTGCACCTGACATGTCTCTAGGTAGGTCTTTTTGGCTCCCTACTCAAGGCTGGCCAGTCCCACCTCTCTCTCCCTCCACAACAAATTCGGTGTCCCGACAGCAGCTCTGCTATGTCCTCCCACCCTGCCGCAACAACTGTGGCTGCACACGAATTCCAGGCCGGTATTGGCGGGGGGGCTCGCCCACCGGCCTTTAAGCACTCACCTCCGCCTGCGCCGGTGACTAGTACCACCTGCCCATCGAACCTCAGCGGCGAAGCCATGAGTCCTGTCTGCACCGACGAACAGACACACAGACAAGCAGAACCTGTGGAGCTCAGACTGCGGGACTAGGAGAACCCAGGCAGGGGCAGAGGTGGGAGGGGAGTGACCTGCCAATTTCTGAGGACACCGTAGTTTTCAAAATGCGCCTGCGCAGAGATCCTTGGCCCTCTGGGAAATGTAGTCCGTTGGCCCTCCAGCCCGGGAGAGAGCCTGCCCAAGAGGCTTGACTGGAAAGGCCATTTTGGCTTCAGGAAGTGATTACTGGAGGAGCTGCTGGTACCTGCGTGGTAAAATGGCTGACTTGGCACTGGGAGTTTATCCATTCACCTGTTCTTTTGTCATTCACTCAACAAGTGTTTTCTGGATTCAGGCGCCACCCTAGAGAAATAGGATGCAGCCCCTATCCTTAAGTAACTTTCAAAATGGCTCCTAAGAAAGAATGCACCCTTACCAATGGGTAAAGATTTCTCAGAATGTTATTCCTATACCTCCTACATGAAAATCAGAAAGGGACTGTCACAAGATGCAGAGTCGTGGAACCCCACGATGACCCCCCAAAATACAACCTCGGGACAAAAAGTTTTCACAAGTGCTCCTAAATGATTCTTGGTTTGTATGTTAATAACAGTCCTATGTAATTCATTAAACAAAGCACAAGTTTACAGATGAACAGTAAGGTCCTTCGGAGTTTGTCATATAGTAAACCTTCAATAACAGTGCAGCATGATAAGACTTGTAACAAATGTGTAAAAGTCAGTTAATGGTGCCAAAATAAACAGATCCTATCCCTGCTGGAGAGAAAAGGGAAAACTTTCCAAAGGAGATGGCACACAAAGTACTTTAAGAAATGAAATCTGCAAATAAAGGAGAACTGCAGGTAATGAAAACACTAGCTAAACTGGGCAAAAGGGGAGAGGGTAAGCAAGGCCTCAAAAGTATGCAGAGTGAGTCAGATCACGTTTAGATGTTTTAATTCAGTGTGGAAAAAGATTGTAAGCAGGATTACTCTAGGGAACACCTTTATATATGACAAGAAAGAGGTCGCTTCTAAAGCTTTGGGCCAGGACCTCCCCCACCCCAGTGCCACCTCCGACCAATAGGGCTGGTTGCCTGGAGGCTGAGCCCCCTGGCAGTCCCATGCTGGCACTGCCTCTGGGGCCACTGCACCTGCTGCTCTTGGCAAGTGCAAGTCCACCATGAACTTGGCAAGTTCAGAACCATGATCACCCTCTTTGTTTACTGACCATGAGGAAAGCCTGGAGGCCTAGACCACAGACATTTTGAAACCAGGCCTGAATCAAGATGCAAAAGGGAGCCTTGTGCATGACCATATGGCAGTTCTAGGTTCAAGGATAAGCCTCTGAGACATTTCATAGATTTTGGCCTCCACACCCCTGCTTCCTGTAGAGAAAGCTGAAGTAGCTATATGCAATGCAGCAGACCAAATTTTCTTCAAACTAGATCCCAGGATGGGGCCTAGTGAACTGCACAGTGCCCTTTCTCCAAACTTCACCTGGCAGAAGTGCCCAGATGTCCTTGTTGGGGTATCTGTTTGGATCTTGTGTTGTAATGTTTCCTGTATAATCCCATAATCCTGTTATTTTTTTTAAATTTACATTAAAAAATTAAACTGGCAGTCAGGGTACATGCCTGGGTTGCAGGCCATGACCCCCAACAACCGCACATTGATGTTTCTCTCTCTCTTTCTCCCTCCCTTCCCTCTCTAAAAATAAATAAAATCTTTTAAAAAAAGTTTCATTCTTTAAAAAATAAATAAATAAACTGGAAAAAAGGCTGTGTATATTATTCCTACTTTCAGAAATGTAAGTGCAGAAAAAACCCAGTTGTAACTTACCATGAGCTGCCTTCAGCAACATACCTGTGACAGGGAGCAGAACTAAGGCTTTCGCAGCCACAGCTGGGATCTGACACTCGATTTCCCAGACTCACAACTGGGCAGTGGCTAGTACGGGACCAGAGCCAACAAGTACAGTGCCCAAGTAAACAGTCTCGAATATCAAAGAGAGGCAGCACAGATTTAGGAACTTCAGTCACAGAAGTACAGTGAGGTGTGTGATTTAAAATACTACAAAAGGTGTTGTTATATAGAGGTGGGAAAAAATAGCTACGTAGTTATTTGTTAAGAAAATAATACAATAATTAATAGACAATAACACAAGAATAAACTTTTGCATACTCATCACTGTATACTACTTTTGCCTACAGTAGAAGTGTAGATTATTTTCTCTAATTGCTTCATCTTGTTCTCAAGTCCTCACTCTTATGGGAAGGCACTCTGAAAAGGAAACTTAAACTTACCATGTAAAAATAACTCAGTCTGGATTGTGGAGGGGAGTTATGGAGGAGACAAGTGGTAATGGACGGACACTTGACTTGGAGTGGTGAACCCACAATACAGTGAACAGATAATGTTTTGTGGAATTGTGCACCTGAAACCTGTATAATTTTACTAACCTGTGTCACCCCAATAAATTCAATTGAAAAATAAACACTTGGTCTATTTGGGGCAAATGCTGCTGTCTTTCAGGATTTCTGAATCCCCCCCCTCCTTCACATAGCCTATATTTCACCTTACCGTAGAGGAAAGGTTTGGCAAGGGTAGGGGTGGTCATTAAAGCCATGCTGACCTCTGTTTCCCACCCCCTGCCACCTACGAATAGCAGATAAAACTTGCAGTTTGTTTTCTCAGCATAATTGAAGGGTCTCAGTGGTCCTCAACTCACCTACACTGGGCCCCAACTCAAATCTAGCCTCTGAATCATTTACATTAGTGTGTGGGTTTCAGTGTTCTGAGAATCTGCTCTGCGTTATGTTTTACACTGTGAGCTGGTTTAACAATCTCTGTGAAAGCCTAAACATTTCAAATTTTTTAATTATTCACATAAAATTTAAAAAACAAACAAAAATGTGCCAATAAAGAGCCAAGAGAGACAGGTAGAGGACCTTCAGCTTGCTCATCACACACACCAACAACAAGGCTATTGCCAGTCTGCTGCAGTCACCCAATGACAGTTCCAAGTCATTTGCAGGGCAATGTCTTCTCAGAGTCAAAATCTCGCTGGTGCCTCTGTCCTTTTCACTGACCCATCTCTTCAGGCCTAGGGCAGGAAGGGGACAAGGGGTGTCAGGTCCCTGAAGAACCCAGGCCAACCATGGCCCCTATTATCTACCCTCCTAATCTTTTTTATTCCCTTCCCAGTAAGAATTCTACTTAATCTTTCCTGCTAGTGAGAACTCCTCCTAAGTTTGTCCTCTCTGCTCCAACTTTATGGATATCTCTTTTGTAAGGGGTCACTTTCTAAGAAGAAACTAAGCTTTATGGCTTAGCCCTGATGCTGGAAGAACAGAAAGGAGTATTAGAGTAAAACAGTATTCTATTTTTCGCTTCTCAGTCTCCAAACCTGCTTTCAGTTGTTAGAGAATACAATACCCCTGTCTATTTCCTACCTAAGAGGTTGAATATACCAGATACCTTTCTAGCCTCCCTTGCAACTAGGCATAGCACATGACCTAAGTTCTACAAGTCAGATGCTTCTCCCAAGGTATTGAATTAGTGTGGAATGACAAACTATACCAACTCCATTCTGGTAATAAATGGAGGAAACAGCAATGGCATCAGCTCTAGTGGGGGTGGGCAACATTCAATGGTAGTAGTGTCAGAGGTGCAAATTGCAGCGTCCAGTATCCTGCAAGGTTAGTAGCATTTTCATCAGACCACCTGTGCCATGATTTGGCCATGGTTCCTGACTTCAGAGGCTCTGAATCCTACTCTCTGGCTTCCTGCAAATTCTGCCACAGAGCTGCAGCTGATTTGAGATTGCAGCTGCACAAGCTGACTTAGCATTTGGAAACCACTGTAGCTGAGTTTAATAAAAAAAAACAGATTCATTTGGGAGTCAATATAGGCTTTCCAGGACCACATACTGCATAAGTCAGGATCAAGTCTTGGATAAAGATAGAAATTCCTTACCTGGGCTCACAAAAGCTCTGTAGGAGACACTGTACTGCAAGGCAGCTATACTTTGTGTGAACTTCAGAACCATTGTTAGCACTCTAGAAGGAAACACTTTAGACTCGGCTTTTTCTCAAGCTCACTTTAGTAGACAGAAATCCAGTTCAATTGTTACTAATCTTGTTCTCCTTAACCTTGTTTTGTAGCCTTGGATAGATGACCCAGGTTGGAGTTTATGCAACCAAAAAAAAAAAGATCGCAGGAGAAAATGTATGTGCATCTTTTAGTGTAGGAAAGTTTGTGGCAGTGTGCCCTAACTGGGCCTCTAAAGTGCGGTCTTCATGGCAACAACAGTCACAACACTGCCTGGGTTTCATCAAGGTTCCTGTGAGCACATGGAAGCCCAGCCCACCTCTTTACAAAAGATTTTCCTAGTTGAGCTTAGATTCACAGGACATGGCCTACTGGCACAAATGAGTAGTAACCTGACAAGCTCAAACAAGAAGCTTGTCTCCAGCCCCCAGATAATCCTAAACCAATTGGCTGGCAACTGCAATATAGGTCTGGATTGTGCTGGAATCTGGGAATGTCATTTTTGCTTGTGATAACTGCGCTGGTGTTTTTTCTAAAGAGCATGGGATTGTGGCTGCTGCTACACTGACCTTGTGTATTCTGTGCTCTTTGGAAAAGTAATACACAAGAGAATTACAGTTGGGATCCTATTTTGCAGATATTAGAAAATTTACAGCAGGTCTTCAAAAAACGTCGTTCTGTTCAACATTTTATTATAACATTGAGATGATGTAGGAATTTAACTTGTTTAGATCAGTTAGCCTATGGTAAAATTGGTTTTACTATACATCATTTCACTTAACAGTCGAAGAACCTATTGTTCAGTGAAGACTTACTGTGTATTCATTCTATCAAGGGTATAACAGCACAAGATATGATGATAGCACCTAGTACTGGCCAGTGTATAAAAGTGAAAGTGTTTAAGAAAAGCAGGACCACGTTTTCCATTTTTAACTTGTCTCATGTGTACACAGGAAGTAAGATTTAAATATTCATACATTCAACCTTCATTTACTAAGGCCACTATGAGTCAGGCACTGTACTAAGAACAAACCCGATAAGGGTCTGCCCGTAGAC